ACCCGGACAACGCCATTTTCGCGAGCATTGTATCACCCGTTCGCTTTCATATTTTTACATTAAAGACGTGATCTGGCCGTATCGACCGACTATTTCATTATTTGGAGGCGGGAGCCATTAATTAAGAAGTTTGCTGAAAATAAGTGTGGTTATATAAATTGTTCGGTAATTATAACGTAACATATTTTTATCTTTATAAATATTTAGTATTATAAATAAACTATTTAGTAATATTTATTAGATATTTAATTATAAACAAATATCTAGTTGAAAGTATTTCACTCAATATTTGATCGTTTATAGACTTTTTTTTAGTGTATGAAAACGTGTCGAGACCATTGAGACTGAAGATAAAAATGAATGATCAATACATACAGCAATTAAAATATATAATTGCAATTTTTGCGGTTCAAGAAATTAAAAAACGCTGTACAGCTGCAGCAGTAGCTGCGATACATTATGTACAGAATAAAAAACGACGATATGTGAAGAAAAAATATTGGGTAGCACCCATTTTTCAAAGTCGAAAAGAAAATAGTTTTTATTTTGCTTCAATTCCAAAATTGAAATTGGAAAATCTTCGCTTTCGTAACTATTTTAGAATGAACATAACTCAATTTAAGGAATTATTGTACATTGTTGGTCCAAAATTGCAAAAGCAAAATGTTATTCGAGAATCCATCTCTCCATCCGAACGATTAGCACTGACATTGAGGTTTGTTTCGTTTGAATTTATTTATATATGTTATGAATGTGTAAAAATGCTTTGTATTAAACATGAATATAAAAATCCATATAGTAAAAGCTATGATTTTTTAAAATGAGACTTTCATACATTTTATCATCACACAAATCAGTATTTTGTATTATTTTTGAAATTAAAGTATTATTTTTTAAATATTGTAGGTATTTAGCATCCGGTGATTCCATGATATCGATGTCGTATCAGTATCTTGTGGGAGTTACAACAGTTAGCAATATAATTAAAGAAACATGTGCAATAATTTGGAACAGTTTGCAGCCTTCAGTTTTATCTGGTCAAATAGAAGAAAAAGACTGGCTAAATATAGCCAAAGATTTTGAGAAATGGAATTTCCCACATTGTATTGGAGCTGTTGACGGCAAGCACGTTATCATCCAAGTATGTACATTGAGTATCAGATTAAATGTACATATAGTAGTCAAGTAGCCTATTCTCTACAAAATTAAGGTTATTATCCATCGTCTTCTACTCTGTACACCGTCTTCTTTTTTTTATGCATCTGAGAACATCTAGTGAAATTTTATAAAAATATTTGAGATAATTATTAATGATAATTACTCGGGATACCTTTAGAAAATCCTTTGAACGTCTCCAGACGCCCTAAAAGAGGACAGTATCCAGGGAAGAAGAGGATGGCCTATATAAGATAAATGAAATTATATTTAATTTGAAGTGACAATTTTCTGTTTTAGTGTCCCAATAACGCTGGATCAACATACTTTAATTATAAGCATACGCACAGTATAGTTTTGATGGCTATCTGTGATGCAAATTATATCATCCGTTTTGTAGATATCGGAGCATACGGACGACGCAGCGATGGGGGTATATTTAAAGACAGCAACATAGGAAAAGCCTTTGACAAAGGTCACATGAATGTTCCGCAGCCGGCTGCTATTTCAGATAATTTTATTCTACCATATTGTCTTGTGGGAGACGAGGCTTTTCCTTTGAAGCCATACTTACTTCGTCCATATCCAGGCAGAGGCCTGACAATGGAACAAGCCATCTTTAATTATCGTTTAAGTCGAGTACGAAGATTAATTGAAAATACCTTCGGTATACTTGTCAGCCAATGGAGAGTATTCAGAAAGCCAATTATCGCTAGCCCTGAGACTGCTATGGAAATAGTTAAGGCAACCGTGTGCTTGCATAATTGGCTTCGGAAAAATGACATTGGTAACGAATACGTACCTAACAGTATGGTCGATTCCGACAATCTAGATACTCCAAGTAGATTTAATGCAGGATCTTGGAGAAGTATTATGAATGATGGCTGTGCTTTCAAAAATTTCGGAAACTGTGGCAGTAATACGAGTGCCCGAGAATGTGTAAATATTCGCAACGAATTTTGTCGCTACTTCAATAATGAAGGAGCAGTGCCATGGCAGTACAATCGTGGAAGTTAAAAGTTTTAATAAAATATAATTGGAGAGTCTAGTTATAGCTCTGAGAAAGCATCCGCCGTCACCACTTCTGTATCTCCTGCTCACCATCAGCATTCAAACAGTGACTTTAATAGAACAATCAAACCTGAGGACAGTAATCTGGACAATAGTAACTTGGACTCAACACAAGTTATACATCCAGTGAACATTAACGCATTAACTAGTCCTAGTCCAACCGACGTGTCGATGACTTGACTCAAATCAGGATACCACTCGAGAAGACTGATAAGAACGTCGGTATCATCAGCTCTGAGAATGAAATGTCAGCCACAGCATTGACCAGCTCCATAATCGTCAACTCTGACGTCACAAGCCCTGAAGTACCCACCGCAAGTTTAAGTAGTTCTACTGCTTCCAAGGAGAGTCCCACTAGCCCTGTCAATAATGAAAAAGTTGCGGAAAGGTATTCAAATGTTCAAACATTAAATTCAAATATAAAAACTTTGAATGTTTTTTCAATTCTTCCATTCTTGAAATCTTAAGGTTATGAAATTTGTTTGATGAATATTGATTTTTGGAATTTTAAAATTTTGAATATTTTTACATTTTAACTCTAATATGTGTTTGTGTGACAAAATTAGTATTTGATTTCTTGCTTTTAAACGCATGTGCATTTTAATAAAGATTAAAAGACTTGTTTTGATCGAAAAACTGCTCTAACTTAACATCCTCCTTTGAATTAAGCGTTGTATTTCCTCAGATTATATATATATATATATATATTATATATATTATTATATATATTTTATTCATATGTGTATGTATATTATAAATATAAATTAAGGTACTCTCAAAAAGATGTTTATCCTGAAAAAATACAAAAATTGTCAGTTGTTATGTATATATCTTATATATTCATTTTAGTATATGGACAGGACAGACGAAAATAAAAAGAATCTACTGCAAATACAACAGAAGAATTAGAAGATAATCTGCAAAATCTTTATGTAGAGAAGATGTAGCTAAAGTCTATCGAGAATGCAATTTTACTTACAATCCAAAATTTAATGATCTATCTATTCCATAAAGGAGAAGATACTTTCAATAATTGAGACAAATTCGGTAGTCATTATTCAAGGACCAACTGACTATGGAAAGAAGACCACTCAAATTCTACAATTTATTCTCGATGTTAATATTAAGAAGAGACTTAATTGCAATATTATAGGTTTATTTTTTATCAGTTTTTACTTTTTTATACAATTAATATGTTATAATAAATAATTGTAGCATATATGTATTATAGATTATATGAGAAGTTTATTTCAAATTTTCTTTAGTTTAAAATAATATCTTATACATTTAAAAAATTAATGATTATACCATTCAATAGAGCACAGTTTTAGCTTGAATCGTGGAAGTTAAAAGTTTTAATAAAATATTTCATGTTTAAATTAGAATATTTCGCTATCGTCGTAATTATATCAATAAAAGAACTTATTATATATAATTATAATTATATTATCACAATACCAAATAAAATATTAAATAACGAAACACTGAAATATACATCTTATAATTTATCTTGTAACTATACTTATCTTATATAATAACTGCACTTATAACTTTATATAATCTATTATCTTTTTCTTTTTTTTGACTCATTTATTACTTTCAAAATATCAAACATCACTTCGTCCAGTAATTCTGGGTCTATATCATGAAGTAGGACAGATATCAAATGTACCATTGACGCAGGTTTATCAAACGTAGGTGGAATATTTTGAGAAAGACGATGAAAAATTTGCTCTATTTGCTCTATTTGCCCCATATTAAAAAGCAATGAACTCTCCAAAGAGTTAGCAATCCTATCCAGGGGATTGTCTGCAATCATGTGGCGTTTATTGCTACTTGTAAAAAATATTCACATTCTGTAACTTATGTTTAGAACATAAGAATTTATATGAAAAATGTATTTATCTCTCCATTGAACCAGGAAAGTAAAAAATAGTCATTACTATTTCATACAAACAAAATTACATAAATTTTCTATTTTGAATTTTCTATGTGCAATTCGATTCCGCTTTAACCAATGAAATGTTCCACCGATGGAGCTAAATACATTTTTCAATGTATGAATTCATAATTCTTATCTATTCTTTATAAAATGGTTTGTTTTGACATGCAAATATACTCTTCAACATACGTGATGTATTATGACTGTTGCTGCTACTGTTACAGCTATTGCTGTCATCGTGAAAAACATTTGATTCTAATGAATTTGATTGTGTATCATCAAGTTCTGACACAGTCTCGATATTACTGACAGTTCTATCATAAAAAGAAAATTAATTATTATACTACATATTATACATTTGTATACAAAAATTATCATTATTATTATAATTATTTTTATTATTATACCTGCTTTCTAGCCGCATATCATTCAAAAACTGCATATGTTGTAGATGTACCCACGGTTTTTTTCCACTTGCTGCAGATCCACTCGGTTGCTGATTCTTTTTTGAATGCACTCGAAAAGAATCTGATAGCGACTTCCATTTCTTTTTTATCGCCTCCACGGAAGGGAATGTTCCTAAAAAAATGGAAATACATATAATTTGATAAATCAGTATTTTTTTATAACATAAAATAATATTTATAGAAAAACCTTATACTATAACAATAGCAACAACATTATTACCATTCATAGCTTCATACACTTCTTCCCAGAGTTGTTTCTTTATTTGTGGGCTGCGTTCAGTTACAGATAGTTTGAAGTTCCACAATGCAGATCGTTTAAAGACTTCATCGATTAGCTGTTCCTCTATTTCCATCTTCTTTGTTTCTAAGTCGACTGACTCGTTACGTGAATTTACAGCACCCTTTACTTGTGGTTTATTTGTGACAACGACAGCTTCCGTACCATCAGGCATTAGGCTATTACGAACTATGGTTCCATCCTCTAATATAAGTTTTGGTAATAAGCAGAAGGGAAATATTTGTAAGACAATTTTAAATAAGTAGTAAATAGAGATCTTACCACACTCAGGATAACAGTAAAAATTTTCATCAATGTGGATGTTATTGTATTCTTTGTAGCATGTATGAGATATCAAATCATCCTCATTAATAATGGTTTCGCACACACCACAGGTGTACAAAATACTTAAATTATCCTAAAGTACAAACGAGAAAAAAGTATATGGTAAATATTATATTATAAAATATTACAAAAGAAACATCTTCAATATACAAAAGATAATATGAAACAAATAAAGAGAAACCTAATATACGAATGTTTGGTATAAATATTATAACTATTTATATATACGTACGTCTAAATTTGTTAAATTACTGTTATTCGCCATTATCCTTGAGTTATTATCCTTCGCCAGCGGAATAAATGTGAAATATACCAAGAAGAAGGCTAGACTAGTCTCGAAATTTAGGAAACACAACAAAAAAATAGGTTATATGTAATATTTCGCATTTGTGGCGTCTGGCGTGCAGCGTTGCTTCGCTCAAAGTTCAACAATGTTGAACTTTGAGCGTTTTTTCGCTAGCTATATGGAATCGGCGGAGTGGGGGTCATCGCCAGCGAAGCTTCGCTGCATGAAATTGTACCTTAAGAGTCTGGCCAAGGTTGTCATCCAGCCTATTGGTTTCGACAAAATATGGCAGAGCCAATGAAGTGTCTCGAATTAATATCTTGGGCCGGTATTCATAGTCAAAAAGTAATGTCTTAAGTACAGTCTTAAGATGTCACGAATCAATCAAAGGCCGATATTCATAGTCAGTTCTTATATTCAACACCGTCTTAAGTTCAGTCTTGAGGAGTTACGAACCAATCAGAGGCCGGTATTCATAGTCGGTTCTTATTTAAAGACTGTCTCAAGTAATGTCTTAAGATGCTAAAGTGGCCCTCTGATTGGTTGTAACTCTTCAAGATTGAACTTAAGACGGTCTTGAATATAAAAACTGACTATGAATACCGGCCAGAGGGCCGCTTTAGCATCTTAAGACATTACTTAAGACACTCTTGAAATAAGAACCGATATATATATATATACGGTGTCGTAATAGACTTCAAAGTTGATTTTATACCAATAAACAAATTTAGATTTATTCTTCAGAAACATATTTATTACTATTTTTTAATTCTTTTAATTGCTGTAAATCTAATTTTCTATATTAATTTGTTCGAATAAATGTAAATTGATATTTGTAATTTGAAGTTGAAATTTGATGTTTGTGTGGCATATAAAAATTTGGTTGTGATTTTAAAAACATAAATTTAACACTAAAGTTGATACGTGTTAAAAAATTATGACATCTATTATGATGAAATATAGCGATGTCAGTATGTGTCGTGATAGAAAAAAAAATTTCGATAATTTTTTAATAATAATTCTATATTATATTATTAAGATTTTTTATTCGGTATATTTTAACATAAACTTCCAATTTTACATATTTTGCGTGGAAAGATATTTGAGTGAAATTATGTAAATAGGTATAATATATTTATGTATTTATGCAATCTTCCTCTCTTATATTTTGCATTAAATTCATTAGATACAAGTGTACATTTCAAATTTCACGTACCTTTCCTAGCATTAATTTTCTATCATGCACATAATAGTTTATTTCGTCAATAGATTTTCTAAATTTTAGATCATTAACTTCAATGATTAATTCCTTTAGAATAATAAGCGATTTTTTTGTCACATCACTGTTTCTTTATTTACATAACAGGAGTGAGTACTTTGGCAACATCTGAGAAAAATGTTCTAAACTAAATATTCACGATTTACGTAAATTATATTAACAATTCTTCTGAGTATGTAGTTTTACATAATATTTAATAATGCTTAATGTATCCAATAATGTCCTAATATAAATATATATGAACAATTAACTATGGATTGGTCATTTTGACGACAGTATAAAATTATGTACAATTATATACCAATTGGCTATTTCGGCGACAGTGATATATTTTATGTATAACATTCACTTTCACAATACTTGTGTATTATATGTATGTACAGTTATAATAACAATTAAATGCATAATTATAATGATATGCGATATTATAATGAAAAAATTTATTAGCAATTAACTACGGCTTAACGTTTCTTGTAGCTGAACAAAATATAACCTGTAATTTATTGCTTAAATATATTTATTGCTTATCTTTATCGTATTAACTATAAGACATAAATTAGAACATTATCGGATACGAATAGGCGATAATAATTATACATATAACGCATAAGTATCATTAAAATTAACGTTACACATAAAATTGCAGTGTCGCTGAAGTAGCCAGTTGGTATATTATTGTATAAACTTTATACTGTCGTCGAAATGACCAATCCATACATAATTGCTTATACATATTAATTGATGTGTCCTATCGAAAAAATTTTGGTAATGTATACGTTATATAGTCAATGTACTCTAATGTATACAATAATATATATAAATTGTATGTTCTTTTATACTGTCGTCGAAATGACCAATCCATACTTAATTGCTTATATATATCAATTGACGTGTCCTATCGAAAAAATATTGGTAATGTACACGTTATATTGTCAATGTACTCTAATGTATACAATAATATCGGTATTTTTTTACTGTCGTCAAAATAGCCGATTGACATATA